TCAGTTCCTTCCGGCCGGGGCACGTCCGTCCTCACGGGGCTTTTAGAAGCAGCACACCTGGAAATCGCTCGACATCACCTGCCGCAGCAGCTGCTGAGGGTGTCGGCGCCCGGCGCTAGGTGCTTCGAGTGTTCTTTCATACGACATCCCCGGGAATGTATGTCGTCGTAGCCTTGGGCACACGCATGTTGAATTAACGGCCCTTCTTCGGCTCGGCTCCGAGAAGCGGGCTGGGAACCCACAGCAAAGCAGAGATGCAGCTGTTTTGGCGAACAGCCCAGTTCCTCTCGAGAGCTACAGCCATCTGCGTTCCTGCCGGCAACGTGTGGGTGTCCTGTCCTACCGCCTGCGTGCACAGCCACGTCAGGGCAAATGTCTGTGTCAGGAAGCTGCGTTTATTCATAAGTAGTGGCTCAGCAGAGATTCAGTTTTACCAATTAAAACTACTTGGCTTATGGCCGGGCTGGTGGCTCAAGCCTGCAATCCCAGCCCTTTGGGAGGCCGAGGTGAGAGGACTGCCTGAGCCCAGGCTTCGAGACCAGCCCGGGCAACTTGGCAAGACCTCAACTCCACAATAAAAAAAAAAATTAGCCACCCTTGTGGCATGGGCCTGTAGTTCCAGCTACTTGGAAGGCTGAGGCAGAAGGATCACCTGAGCCCAGCATGTCGAGGCTGCAGTGGCTGTGAGCGTGCCACTGCACTCCAGCCCAAGTCACAGTGAGACTCTGACACAAAAAAGAAGAAACGAAATTACTTGGATTTTGTGACACATTGTATAAGCTTGCTACTCAATGAATGAAATAAATAATGGTGTGGGCAGTTCTTGTATTAACAATAGAAAGAGGGGAATTTACAAAAGCTATTCAGAAATACTTAATTACTATACTGCCATTATACTGAAAGATAAGAACTGTATGTACATAATATACATATAGGTACACACATATCCAACCTGCTTCTTCATTGTAAATGAACAAAATGTCTACTGTAATGTTAAAGTATAATGAAAAAAGTCTCTGGAAAACTAAATTCCTTTATCAAAAGCACCTTAGAGTTCAGCCAATGCTACCAGTGAGGGACACATGTGATCAGCTTTGTCATATACCACCAAGTGCTGACTCTGAGGGTTTGCAGGGCATTCACTCAGCTTTATAAGGTGCTGAAACCTCACCACTGTGATGAAAGACAAACACATTTGCTTTGAAACTTTTAAAAGACAATTCATTTTGAGGATATATTACATAAAGAATTCTGATGCCATTCTATCAGGTTTGTCCAAATGAAGACTTATAAACTACTGCTTCGAAGGTACTAGTTTAAACATCAACAAAGATTTTTAAAAAGTAAAATGTAAGCCGGGCTCAGTGGCTCAGCCTGTCATCCCGCGCCTTTGGGAGGCTGAGGTGAGTGGATTGCCTGAGCCCGCGGGTTTGAGACCCGCCTGGGCAGTGAGACCTCATCTCTACAATAAATCAAAAAATCAGCCGGGCGTGGTAGCACATGCCTATAATTCTGGCTACTTGGAAGGCTGAGGCGGAAGGATCGCCGGAGCCCAGCAGGTCGAGCCTGGGCGACAGAGTGAGACTCCAACTCAAAAAAAAAAAAGTAAAATGTAGCTGGGTGTGGTGGCTTACACCTGTAATCCCAGCACTTTGGGAGGCTGAGATGAGGTTTAAATGAGATCAGGGGTTTGAGACCAGCCTGAACAACATGGCGAGACCTCATCTCTATGATAAATAAAAAAATCAGCCAGGCATGGTGGCACATTCCTGTGGTCCCAGCTACTTGAAAGGCTGAGGCAGAAAGATCACCTGAGCCCAGCAGGTCAAAGCTGCGGTGGCCACGATCATGCCACTACACTCCAGTCTGGGCAACAGGGTGAGACTCCGAATCAAAAAAAAAAAAAAAAAAAAACCACACAAGTGCAAATGTTTGATTTCTTTTCATACACCTGAATTAAGTATGGAAAGGTGAAACATACACAACAGCTTATACAGTATCCAAGAGGGAGCCTTTTAAATATCATACTGTAAAAAAGATAAAGAATGTGATAAGAGGGAATAGGCCTGGTTTAATCAAGAAGCTTTTATGATGTTTGATTTTAAACTGTATGTAAATACAGTAATCTCTGAAGGATTTGGCAAAGATTTATTTTTTTCCATTTCCAGTCTTTTAAAGTTAATACAGATTTGCTTGGAACAAGCTGATTTCAAGAGCACACAAAAGTTGGGCACAAAGGATAGGGTTAAATTCAGCAATCTAAGGGGTGAAGAAGAAAAGACAGTAAGGAGGTGCCTCCAACAGAAAACCGAGCACAAAGGCTGAAAAAGTCCTTCCACTGCAAAGCCGAGAACAGCTTATGGTGTGAACCTTACAGTGGAGGCTGCAGCTGTACCTTGGCTTCTATTTATTACTTATTAGGAACAGTTAGCACAATTACACATAGTCTTTAGTAGACCCAACCTGTGTCCATTTCAATTAAACAGTATTTTCTACAACACTGTGAATAAGGCCACAATATTTTGGACAAACCCCTTAGGGTAGTGATTTTACTATCAATGTTATCCATTCTTTTGAAATATAAAGTGTTTTATCTGAATTAAGGTTACAGTTGATTTTTAAGATACTTTATGCATCATGACTGGTACCTTAAAACTTATTCTTAGATGTTTACATCTAACATTCAAAGAAATTGTTGCAGTCTGACATGCTTATTAATTGATCCCACAGGTATAATTACAGGCCAGCATGATTTTAGTGTCTATTCTTTCATCTCACTAAATCAGGAACGCGGCATTTACAGAGCAAGTGAACACCAGTGACGCAGCTACCCAAGGACCCTAGCTGCTCTTCAGTTAGCTACGGTGCAAGCTCAGAGAGAATCCACTGTATGAACAAAGTCGGATTCCAATTCTTCATCAAAAGGTGCTGGTGGAGGTTGTCAGGCGCCTTCCAATGTAGATCCTTAATAAAAAAAGTAATTAGCAGTTAGTGTAATCTTGCAATTCTCAGTTGACTTTGTACAGCTGAAAACAGGGCAGCTCACTGTGGTTATAACTCATGGAAGCACACCAGCTATTTTATAACAATTCTTAAACATTCTGTAAAGAATCTGTTCGCAATCTTTTATCAACTGTTTTATTCATCAATATGCATTTTATATTCCTCTCACTTGGAAAATTCCAGTTGTGTTCTTATAGTGTACTACATTAAATCCAAGTACAAAATGCGATTACTTCACAGAACAGCTTTTCCATTACCTTTGCAATTTTAAAACCGATCCACACAGTGCTGGAGAAAGTCACCCACCAGGGTAAGGAAGGGATTGTGGGAAGCTTATTACCAGCAACCTCGCAATGGCCAGTCACTGGATGATGAAGCTGGTGCACGCAGGCAGTCTGGGTTGGGTCACGGGGAGAGCTGCCCCAAACCCAAGAGGCAGGAGTGTCGGAGGAGGCTCGATCGAGCTCATGCAGTGGGCACCACTCGGCAGCAGCAGGATGGGTCTCCGGGAAAGGAGCCCGAAACAAGCCTGGCCGGCCCGCGGGCAGTGGGAAGAAATGAGATGGCAGGCTGCGGCGGGAGCTTTCTGCGCTGGATTTATCCTGATGGGAAAGCAGCTGAGGGGTTTTAAGCGCGAAACGACGGCCCCAGGCTCTGAAACCCAGGCAGGGTGAAGGGCAGGCACACTGGGAAGTGGCCACAGAAATTCGTCTGGAAAGGAAGGTCTAAACCGGGTACGTAAGACACGGACCGCCGGAGCCTGCCCAGAGATTCTGCTTCTAGTTCTGGAAAAGGCTCTAGAAATCAGTCTCCATGAGCTCTTAGAAAAGACTGGTGCCGTTCCTGAGTCTGATGCCGAAAAGCACTGAGAGCATGCACAGGGGAGGGAAGGCCGGGAAAGGGTGGTGCCCAGTCCTTGCCCAGGAACCCGAGGTGGCTGAGTGCCATTCTCCACAAATGACATGAGGAGCCCTCGGCCCACCCAGGGGGCCACTTCCACGGGCAGGTGGAACTATGGGTCTGGGGAAGGGACTCTGCTGCCACTCCCTCACAAAGACCCACCTGTTTCCAAGTGCCACAAGACACCAGGCTCACCTGCCACTTTGCTGACTGGGGGCAAGGGTGGTGGTGCCAGAGGGACACCTTCATCCTGTTTCCCCCGGCCCTAGAGGCGAGCCTTCAGGCCAACTGACACCACCGGCCCACAGAGGCGTTCCAGTTGCCCAAACACGGTCGGCACACCATGCCTAGTGACACAGCCCACCCCCGGCAGGATGAAAGGAACAGCTCTGGCTCTTCAGCACTGCCTCAGAGGCGCTGCAGTTGCCCGGCCTCCCAATGTGCTTTCTGCAGCTACTCGGCACGAGAAGCCCCAAACCTGGAAATCCCATTTGTTCTGCTGCTGCTGAGAGCTGCAAGGAATAGTGCTGCCGTCCCGTGGGAAGCACAGCAAGCTACTGCCACCCACTCCTGACTGTAGAGAGGGACGGCTCAGCCCAGCCACACGATGCAGTACTGGCTACACGACACACAACAGTAGGGAGAAAGAAGTCAGGCCCAAGAGTCCCTGCTCTGACTCCACTTATGTCAAGTAAAACAGGCAGACGACTGTGTGCTGCGACATCACGATCATGCTGCCCCTGCCGTGGGGCCTTCCAGGGCCGCAGCTTGTTTCTTGATCTGGACAGAGAGGGCATGAAGAGGCTCCGAGAGGCAACTTACAACCTGCGCTTCAGTAAAAACCGGAGAAAGTAATTGCTGCGACCTAGAATCACCCCAAGACAGGACACACCGTGTCAGAGTCCCGGAAATCGTCACCTACCCCAACCCGATGGCCAGCAGATGAGACAGCAGCAGGGACGGAAGAAACACTTTCAGAAATTCTGCGGAGAACATGCCCCCTTTCTTCATGACGCTCGTGTTTCTCATGCTGAGAGCAGCCGTGCGCTTAGGGTGTTGGAAGAGGAACTCTCTGAGGCAGGAAGAGATATGCACGTTAGTGGACATGGCCCCTGTCACAGGCAGACCCGTGGCACTGAAAACACACTCACTTGGGGGGAATGTTTTCGGGCCGACTCGACCAATCCCAGATCCAGTCTGAGTTTTTCTTCAAGATGCTTTCAACTTCTTTCCTTCTCTCCATGTAATCTTCTTCGGACTAAGACAAAAAACATCAAAGCAGACTGAGCAACCACATTCACACTGAAAGCAGCTACCGTCCGCCCAAGCTTCAGACCAAGCCACTCTGGGAGCCGAGACGCGTGTCGACAGACAAGGGTCCGAGGGTGGGTCATGCGGGGACGGGGCACTTTCACTGGGGTCTGTGATGACTCCTGGCTTGCCTTCCTCCTCTGTGGGCAGACCACTTCCGTGGAGCCCTATCCAGTGTGTACTATGCTGGTCACTGGGAGATGCCAGTGGCATGTGCTGTCCTAAGGAAGCAATGTGGCCTGAGGACAAAGACGGTGACTGCAGCACTGGTTTAACAGAAGAAATTGAAACAATCTTTAAGAACATGCCATTTCTTTTAAAACCGGGGGAAAACTGCTTAAAACAGTGCAAACACTTGGGAAGACCGGCACCTGAAACCCACTTTGGCCTGGGGGCGCAGCACCACCACCCTCAACCCCCAAGTGTTGTCCAGGCACAGGCTGCACACCTGGGGCACCCAGCCAGGGCTCCTGCTGGCTGCCCACACACGGCTGCAGTCCTGACTGGGGCCAAGGAGATGCCCGAGAGGCCTGGGGTAACAGGGCCTCCCCACTTCCCTAGTGAAGGAGGCCCTGGGGGAGCCAGCGCGGAAGGTAGAGCGGCTGGCACTGACGAAGCCCGTGCTTCCTGGACAGCCGTGGAAACACACATGGAAAAGTGGCTCCACTGTTCATGCTCTCACCAGCATTAAGTATCCAGGAAAATATCCACTGTGTACCTAATCTGCACAAGGTAATGCACTACCGGATATAACTGAGCAGGACAGCACTGATCGCCACCTCAAAATCCTAGGCAGGAGTAGAACGGGAGGGTCACCGTAAAAGAAGGCAATAACCCCAGGGTGGCTTTCTCCTCATAGACGAACGCCTTCAGCAGGTTCTGTGGCCTCACAACAGTACTAAGCGCCTAATATGTAAAGCCCATTAAATATTTATTGAGTTAATGTTAGAAAAGTGCTCTCATGTCGAAATTACCGAGCTGATTAGCTACAAATGCTAAATTACCCAGGCACCAGTTAGCACCGGTTTGTTGGATAAGGTATGGAGTATGATTTCTGGCAAGCAATTACATCTAGTGAGTAAGGCACCGCCAAATCACAACCACAAGGGTGAATGTCTTGAATGCCCTGCAGGTAACGTCTGACTCCCGAACAGCTTATAGACAGAAAAACCCACTCACTGTCCAAGTGACAACCAGGAAGAGAGAAAGACCACCTCGTCGCTAGCTCACAGTACCATTTCCAGTCACCCGCTCCCTCTCTCCAGGCGTGACACAAGGGAACCCCACCTCCCCTCCCGTGTGTCCCTGATGTCAAGTGGGGCAGGAGACGCCAGCTGCATCCCCCACCCAGCATCTCTGGTCAATTGAGTGTGAAGCTGGTCCTTGGGGGATGTCCCCACCCAGAGTTTAAAAAACAGAAAGGGCAGGAGATACCCTTTGAGCCAGAATTTTCTCTACTCAGTCACATTCAAAACTTGTTTCTATAACAGCATCCTCTCCTTCCAGCTTACCTGGGAACTGTTTTTCTCTCCAATGCTATGGGTGTCTGTTTCAGAAGCTCTATTCGTATCCTGTGGTGTCTGTGAGCGAGGTGGGCTTGGCAAGGATGGGAAAAGAATGGGGAAAACAGGACATCATGTTAACACTCTGCCATCAGAAGCCAAATCTCAAAGGCAGGAACTCAGGACGAGGGATCTAGCCACGTTCATGCCTGCCTTTCCGCCTAGCATCAGACCGGGGCCAGACTGTTTCAGTCTTTTCAGCTGAGCACAGCAGGAGTCAGCTAGCCAGCCTTCCGAGGGAGCGACAAGGAAGCCAGTGAGTGTCTGGCTTTATCACCCGCCACCCTCATGCTCTGTTATACAGCCCTGGAGAGCACCTAACTTTTGATCACTGGCTCTCTTAGCCATGCTGCCTTGCAAGTGCTGTCAACCAGGCACCGCTCTTAAACCCACAACCCTCCTCAGGTGGATGCATGACTCTCAGACCCTTGGGGTTGGTTTGGACAGACTTGATGGGGCGGAAGCTGGGGGGCAGCTTTAACATGGTCCCCTCCAGACTGAGCCTGAGTCACTCTCTCCCACCAAATGGCCAGGTCCCTTCTATATAAGGACGGTCGCAGGAGCCCGCCTGAATCTGCCTGAGAGGCAGAGAAGCAGCCCACTCGTCATTAAAGGTTGCACAGACACTTCCAGCTGTGACTGCTCATCCACTCTGGACATCAACACTGTAATGCATACACTTATTTACATGCACCTACCTGTCACAGTGAGAACTCTTGGAGCTACTCCGTCCAGACTCATGCTGGGCATCCAGCAGTATTTTTTCCATGTCACCATTATAAATAGAAACCGAGGCCGGGACACTGCTCCCGTTCCCATTGTTGCTAAAGTGCAATTCTACCCAGGATCCTGAGGGGACAAAAACGGGCAGAGGTGGAACTTCCTGCCCACTTTGGCACTTAGTCCCTCGCAGTTTAACCAGCCCACCCTTCTGCTTCCAAGAGGCACTAATGACGACACACCCGGAGCCTCCCCTCAGCCCCGTCTTCGCATGCCGTCTGCGCACAGACCGCACTCGCCCCACACTCGTCTACTCCCACTTTCCCTGGGCTCCGGAGGGAAGCCCCATAGGACTAAGACAGTGTGTCGGTGCAGCTTTTACCATTCCAGGATGCCCAGCAAATGCTGGGTCATCAGAATCAAATCAGTCAGAATGCTCTCTTGCATTCAACTTTTATAAGAACAGGCTACTGTTTGGAAAAAGGGATCTTTGTTTTTTAAAAAAAGGGCTGTCAACATAAGTTTAAGGGATTTAAAATTTTCTTCAAAAGGTTTAAGTTATCTCTTAACATATGTCCACATACCAGCATCATATACTGACCCTGAGGTCCTACAAAATTCACATTTATGACTGCTGTTCTGTATTTATATCAAAAACTAGATTGATATATTTTGAACAGAACAGAACTAACTTCCGACGGAATCTGACGAGCAGGCGCCCCCTCAAGCAATCCTTTAGACAGGTCTCTATAGGAAGGAAGCTTAAACCTCTGTACTCGTATTGTGTGGCTTGCTTTGTATTATCTGATCCAAATGAGGATGAACGCTTTATATTTACTGGCCACTTGGATAGCATCTGTTTTGCACCGGCTGTTCAAATCTCTCATTCTTTTAGTTGTCCATCTTTCTCTTATTGGAAAAAGGAATTCTATATCCCAGATACAAGGTTTTTCCACTAAACACACTGCAAAAAACTTTCATTCTGTGGTCTTCCTTTTTACTCTTGTGTCTTCTGATGTACAGAAGTTCTGGATTTTAGTTCAGTAAGTTCAGCAATCTCTTCCTAAGTAAGTTATAGAGAGATTTTATATTCTTTTAAAACGGCATTATAGTTTTAACATTCACACTTAGATCTAAAACACACCTGGACTTAATTTTTATGGGTGATTGGAATAGGACGCATCATTTTTGAAGACCGCTTCTGCTTGTCTGCTCTGTGATGCTCCCTGTGTCAGGAATCAAGCATGCATCAATGCACAGATCTGTTTCTGAGCTCAGGATAATGTCTTACTCTGTGTCATAGGCCTATTTATGTAAAGCAAATCTGTTAACAGATTACCCTGGTGATGTACAAAGGAAGGACTGCAGTAGGAGAGGGTGCAGGCTGAGCACAACGGACCCCAAGACTTCTAGACTAGAAATGAAAGAACTAATTCCGTAGTCACTATAATTTTACTTTATTTTTTTATTATTTGAATTGGAATCTCACTCTGTCGCCCAGGTTGGAGTGCAGTGGCATGCTTATGGTCACTGCAGCCCAGACCTGCTGGGCTCAGGTGATCCTTCTGCCTCGGCCTTCCAAGTAGCTGGAACCGCAGGCATGTGCCACCACACCCAGCTAATTTTCCTGATTTGTTACAGAGACGAGGTCTCGCCAAGGTGCCTCTTGCCTCGACCTCCCAAAGTGCTGTGATTACAGGCATGAGCCAGTGTGCCCAGCCCTTCACTGTAATTTTATGAAGCACAATAACCACCTGGACTGCCATCTGTCCTAAACCGACACGGCACCACATGACACCATGCAACTGGGGGGGGGGAGCTGGAGCAGCCTGCTAACCAAGTCACCCTGTTGGCCGGAAGCAAAGGCAGGCCGCGCCCCTTCCCAGCACGCAGGCGCCTCTGTGGACTGCCCTGGCCCAACCTCCAAGAGCCACTGGCTGCAGAGGATGTGCCCTGTTAATCGAAAGAAAATCAGACCAGGCAAGGCAGCTCACGCCGTAACATTTTGGGATGACAAAGCTTGGGCCCAACTCAGCCTTGGCGACAGAGTGAGATCCTGTGTGTGTTTAAAGAAGAGAGAGAGAGAAGGGAGAAGAAGCAAACCAAGGGCCCAGGAATGAAATACGGATCTGCAGCCCACACCATCAACAGCTTCCCAGTCAGCAGTTAGCCCAATGGTTACACGAATGTCCAAACGAATGCATGATTCTTCTCTTTAGCCTCTCGCTTTGCTTCTGGTCATCCCAGGCCACATGAGCACATCACTACTACGAAGGCAGGCTAGTGTCTGTCTTGGAGCCGGGATCTTACGCCTTCAGAGATTTATGCATAACGTCATTCCCGAATCCACTCATCTGACCAGACAGTCTTCTCAAGTAGCTGCGGTTCGCTAAATAACATTCAGGCCAGGTGTCGTGGCTCACACCTGTAATCCCAGCACTTTGGGAGCCCAGGAGTTCTAGATCAGCCTAGGCAACATAGCGACACCTTGACTCTACATAAAATAGAAAACTTTGCCAGGCATGGTGGCACACGCCTGTAATCCCAGCTGCTTGGGAGGCTGAGGCAGAAGGATCATCTGAGCTCAGGAAGTCAAGGCTGCAGTGAGCTGGGATTGTGCCACTGCACTCCAGCCTGGGTGAAAAAGTGAAAATAAAAGCTAACATTTCGCCAGCCAGCAACTACCCACTGCCCTGAAGAAACTGCCACAGCCTCTGCTCTGGGCAGTTCCCTGCTTCTAGGTTCGATCTATGTTATTCAGACCCTGGGAGGCACTCAGTGTACGTGACTGCAGCAAACTGTTGTGCGGACCGCTCACAGTGCCTGACATATATGGAGTTCAGGGTGTGGAGTCTTCCTCGACACCACTGCCGACACGACACGTGTAGCACCAATTAGCCAACACCAACCGGATGTCCAGCAATTCCACTCCATTCTGACTATTCACCTAGAGTTAGCGTCAGATCCCAGAGTGAAGGGCTCAGTCCCAAAAGAATGCCCCACTGCAGGCACAGCCAACAATGAGTTTACTTGCACAGAAGTCATGAAAACACTACTTACATTTACCAGTTGATCCGAAACAACACGATTAAGAATGTTAGGTGGAAATGACACTTGGGGCAAGGCAGGAGGGGACGGGGAGGGGCAGGTCACCGCCTGCCTCCACTGGACAACCATTGGGCCCTCCTAACCTCACGGTGCAACAGCTTTTAGAACCCCATCTCCAGCCCCCTCCCTTCCTTGGAAAGGGGTTGCCCTGAGAATTTCCACCCCATAGTAGACAGAAATGTATTCCAAAGAGGCTACCTATGTATGGATAACCAAAGACATTCTTACCCCTCAGGTAATCCCAGGGCTCAGGGGCTCTGTGCCAGGAACCAGAGCCAAACCAAATCTATACTGTATTTCTTACACGGGGGCAACTAAAGACCATATGAAGACAAGTGAATTGCCATCTTCAATTGTTTGTGCTGCTCTAACACAATGCCACAAACTGGGCAATTCATGAACAAGAGAAACTGATCTCTCACCGTTCTGGAGGCGGGGGGACGTCCAAGACCAAAGTGCTGGCGTCTGGTGAGGGTCTTCCTGCTGTGTCCTTGCACGGCAGACAGGCGAGTGGGAACCAACTCCCTCCTCAAGTGCCTTTATAAGGGCACTGATCCACCTCACCAGGGAGAAACCCCATGACCTAATCATCTCTTAAAACTATCACACTGGCAACACCGGAACATGAGGGGACACATTCAAACCAAAGCAGTGTTTACCTCTTAGAGTCCTAATCATCCCTGAGAGAGAAAGAAAAAATTCCCATTCTGGATTGTCTGCAGCTGAAAACTTTAGGTCCAAAAGCAGTATTCCAAAGAATGATTTACTAAGAGACAAGAGGTTTATTATTAACCTTCAACAACTGAGTAGGAGAGAATACTTCCTGGCTAATGAAGAGAATGTATGCTGTTAGTCTACTTACATACTGCAGTGATTAATTAGAATCATTCATCTTTTTACACAAGAAAGATGGAAATTAAGGTTACTTAACAGCCTTACAAAATTTCCTCACAACCACAAGTAGCTCATTTCAAATAACTTTCGTATGAGCCCCGAAAAGAAAGGTGATCTATTCCCGATTTCATTTCATGCTCCCTTGCTTATTTTCTTCCCTCACTTATAATGTATATATTGCTAATAAGTCACCAAAAGTAAATCTTCATTCCCCTAAACAAGACAGATGACAGCCACAGGTAGTCTAGGACACAAACACTAAAATCATACAGAAAAAGAAAACGGATAGGTCTGCCCCAGAGAGCACATACAAATCAGCACTCTTGAATTCTTAATCCAATTCTTAGTTTCCATTTGTCTCATTTTCTTTAAAAAAAAATTTCACCCGACCTCCAGCTTGTCTCGGTGCCCAAAGCAGCTCCTCCCTTTACTGTGACGATTCCAGGGATCCCCTGGCTTCATTCCCTCTATCTATCCCAGGGCTCACTCCCCAGCCTTGACTGACTAACCACAGTCAGCAGGGCCCATGTGGCCTCAAGTTCTCAAGGCTGTCCTACACCCTAGTCTAGGCAACAGGTCTCAACCCTGGTTATGAAGAGAAAAATCACTCATGATGCTTTATTTCATTGTTCTCCAAAAGCCCAGCCCAGTTCTACCCTGAAAGTGCCAATGTGCAAAGCTGAGGTGAAACACAAATATACTGAAAAAATATATACTGAAAAAACATACAGAAAAAAGTCCTAAGGGAGTGGGCTAAAAACTCTTGAACCATGAGGTTAGGAGGGCTTGACGGTGGTGAGGCTGTGCTGCCAGGGCTGAAAAGGACTGCCTAGGGGAAAGACAGGTGTCCCCCAAAACAGCCTACAAGACAGGAGATAAACGTCACAACAGAGGCATGCACGTGGCATAGCACCCCAGAAACAAGTCTGAAAAAGATGAGCTGCTAAGCCTGGAGGGAACCAGAACTCCCCAGACACCAAGGGTTTCTTCCCCAAGAGAGGGAGCTTTAAGAAACCGCTCTCTCTACCCGTAAAAGCTTCCCAGGCCGGCTCTTTCCTTTTGCCCCCTCACTCTCCTGAGAGCACAGGGGCCACAGCAGCGCTGATGAGACACACACAAGAGAACCTGGCCAGGTCCTCACTCTTGCCGCCTCCACTCAAACAGGCACTGTCTGCTTTGGAAATATGGACCCCATACGCGCCGCCAGGGTTCCACCGGGACACAGCGGATACGGGGCTCGTTAATGTTGGACTAAGTGACCTTCCTTGAACGGGTTATCCAAGGCATCTACCCAGTGACAGAGGCCATGCTGGTTCCTTGCTTATAAAATGCAAAAGTCCTTCAGAAATAAAACAAAGGGTTTCTCAGGTTAGCTGCGATAGGAGTGAGAGCTGGCCTGGCAGATGAGTTTGAGCACCAGGCCAACTTTCAGCGACTCCCTTGAAGGGCTTCCAGCAGGACCTCGCTGACTCACCAGATCTGGCCTACAAATCGCGCTCTCAGCTGTGTGGGATCAAGACGGTCCCACTGGCGCTTGGTGCTCCCTTCACTATTGTTGCTGGCCTTACATCTCACTCAGCCTCTGGGTCTCGTGGTGACCATCCTTAAAATGCAGGTGTTAGGCTAGGACCGAAATGTCTGCAACCCTTCGCATTCTAAAACTGCAAGGCGCTGCGATTCCGCTCCAAAAGAAATGCACATTTTCTCCCCTCATACAACTTTGCCCGCCGCGGGATGCCTATGACGCAAGGACCAAACCCCGTCGCAGACACCGCAGAACGGGAAGAGGGCTCGGATCGCTAGAAACTGCCATCAGGGTCCACGGCAAGCCCTTGACTGAACCGACGCCCTTGAGCTGGAGGCGGTGGGTCCTGCAGGGACGTCACGCACGCCCCGCCACCCACAACCAAGAGGCAGTCTCATCACAAAAGTCCACCTCCCTCCTCCATTTTAGCAGTCATACAGCTAGGAGAAACAGGCCATGATGGGGCTGCACGGCGCAGCCGTACTCCAGCCTGGGCAACCGGGCGCGTCCCTGTCTCTTAAAACAGAAAAAGGCCGGTGCGAGCATCCTCCGGGTCCACAACGTGAACTAGACTGGATCAAGAGACAGAAGGGGCAGAAGACGGAATCCACTGCACTGTTAACCGCTCGGGGAAAACATGCGGCCCGGAGGCTCGGGCAAGAGACAGTGTTTGTCGGCGGCCTGTGGGTCGGGCTGGCAGAGCTTCCGCCGTTCTCTCTTCAGAGGTAAACAAGAGGCAGTCCAACAGAAGGGCCGAGAGCAAGTGCCGCCTCCCACCGGGCAGGGCGGCTGAGGCCCCACGCGACCTGGGGCAGCCCGCGCCCCCGGGCCTGACGCCGGGCAAGTGCCCTCCCGCACGTACGCTCGGAGAAGCGCCAGAAACCCTCCCCGTGCGTCTCCGCTGCGCGTGCCCTCCTGTTACGGCAGCAGCGAGGCGGGGACGCCCGGGGCTGGCCACCCGGCGCCCGTGACTCAGCAGCCCGGCGGAGCAGGCACTGAGCGCCCGCCCCACGAGCGCTTACAACTCGGGTCCAGAGACGACCTGAGCCAGCCGGTAAAACACAGAGTTAACACGAAAGTGGCACGGTAACGTCCAAAGGGGCGGTTTTACGGCAGGGTTTATACAGCACCCCTCGGACTTTATTTTTCTGCGGAACGACAGAAACACTTCCCCTCCTCTCTTTCAAAGCCAGCGTCCGCCGATGCCTGAGTTCCCAGAGAAAACACCCGAACCACGGGACCTTTCAAAGGCGGCCGTCGTAAGAACACAGATCACGCCACGGATCACGGCAATCGGGTCCCGCCGAGCAACCCCGTTGCCGGCCACAAGCCGGACCCGCCAGCCCCGAAGCGGGCCGCACGCCGGGCTCGCCCACGCCGGCACGGAGACCACCTGCCCGCCCGCAGGCCCGCCCGCAGGCCCGCCCGCAGGCCCGCCCGCG